GCAATTCACATTATTAAAGTAAACTTCTACATACTGCTTTCTCTATTCTATTCCTCAAGACTCTACTACTGCATGGAAATATCATAACTTCATTGCGTTCAGCACCTTCTTGTTTACCTCAAGGCCTGACTATTTTTTCATTGGCAGAAAATGAAATTAGAGATTTGAATGAGGTAAGAATAATGTTTTTGAAGAAAACGGAATACATTTTTTGAGAAAGCCTAAATTACTATAGTTACATTTCATTATATTTTCATCTAAATTTTTATTTTTATGGCTACATTTTGGGCACAGAAGATATGTAGATTTTAAAATTAAATGACAGTAAATAGCAGTCATTTAATTAATGATTGTTTAAGTAATTAAATATGTTAGTAATTAAATACCATTAAAATACTGTAAAGGGGGAATGACATTTCTTGAGACAGATTCTTACAGTAATTTCTTTGCAGCATATTTTTGAAATTTAAATATCAGTTACTATGAACAAAATTAAATTTTGGATTACTCTACATTTAATAAACACAGAAATTAAAACAAAAATAAAATTGATGCTACCTAAGGGGAGAGAGGAACAAATGTTCCTGGTACAGGTATTCTGTACCTTTTTTTTAGTAATGATCAGCTTGAACAGATTAAGAAGTAAAAACATCATTTGAAAGGTAGTGTATATTTAACTTTGGTTTAAACACCCTTATAGATGAAGCAGGGAGGAATCATGCTTGAAGCAAATATAATCATGAAGTTATAAATATTTTCCTCTTAAAACTATCAGCAATTATACTTTGGGACATGAAGATGGACAGTAGATTAATTTTTTTCAATAAACTATCAAAAAGAGAAATAGTTCAGTGTGCAGTATGGTTTTTTAAAACATGTCAGACATGGGGAATGTCTTCATTCAATCTGTCTTGAGCCATGAAAATTCACTGTGATTTTGGTTTGTTTTCTGGAGGTAAAGAGGATTTACGAATATGTGGATGACCTTTTGTTTTTATATTCATGTCCAATTATAGCAGCATTCCCAACCTTTGTGGGTTGGCCGCCAGGCGCCTGGGGGAGGGAAGAAGGGATGGTTTTGTGTGAGCATGCGCCCGCTGCTCACACAAATGAAGCTGTGCGCGCCTGTGTGCCTGCACCCGCCGCTCGCGCAAATGGGGTGCAAGCGCCAGCATCCAATTGTGTAGGTTGAGCTGCATACGCGCTGGCCCACCACTCATGCAGCCCGGTTGCAAACAGGCCATGGCCTATTAGTGGGCTGCAGCCCACAAGTTGGGGACCCCTGAATTATAGAATTACAAGAACAAGAAATACTGTACAGGTAATCCTCTACTTACAACATTTATTTAATGATCGTTAGTTACAACAGCACTGAAAAAAATGACTTATGACCAGTTTTCACCTGACCGTTACAGCGTAGTCATGTGATCAAAATTTGGGTGCTTGGCAACTAGCATGTATTTATGACAGTTACAATATCCCAGGATGATATGATCACCATTTGTAACCTTCCCAGCTGGCTTCTGACAAGCAGAGTCAATGGGGGAGGCCAAATTTGCTTAATAACTGCATGTTTCACTTAACAGTTGCAGTGATTTGCTTAACCACAGTGACAAAAAGGTTGTAAAATGGGGTGCAACTCATTTAATTGTCTTTGTTTAGCAATGGAAATTTTGGGCTCACTTGTGGTTGTAAGTCGAGGACTACTTGTAATTGAAATGTCTTCCATATTACAATAAAGCTATTGGCAGAAAATATTCTATTTATGTTTATTAAATTCTGGGAAATAACAGAATAAAACAATAGTCTTTGAATAAAATTAAGCAAGTAAAATAATTTTCCCCTCAAACATCTAATATAACTAAGTTGTAGGATACATGTATAGTGCTGTTCAGCCTTGTAAATTTTCTTTACATTTAATCACAAAAATAATTATTTCCTTTTCTTTTTAGATTTCTTTCTTGACCTGTTTTCCTAAACTAGAGCAACTCTCAATTATGAACAATCCTTGTGTGATGGCAACCCCTAACATTCCGGGTTTTGATTACCGACCATTTATTGTCAGTTGGTGTCTCAGTCTTAAAGTAATTGATGGGTATGTGGTTTCTCAGAAAGAAAGGTAAGAATATGATTAAACTGAGTGTTGCCATTAATCTATGTATCAATCCGTCATTTAGAATTTGCAAGCCAAATATCAAAGAATGAGAAAACGAAGAGAGATGTCAGGATAGTAATCTTGAAAAAGTTTTAATAAGAAATTGTCCCTGAATATACAGCATTTATAGCAGCAGTCATGTTCCCCAGAGGGAAGAACGAGAAACAATAGTTGGAAACTGATCAAAGAGAGAAGCAACCTGGAATTAAGGAGAAACTTCCTGACAATGAGGACAATCAACCAGTGGAACAGCTTGCCTCCAGAAATCGTGGGTGCTCCATCACTGGAGATTTTTAAGACAAGACTAGACAATCACCTGTCTGAGATGCTATAGGTCACGGGTCAGCAACCCGCGGCTCTGGAGCTGCATGTGGCTCTTTCAGCCATCTACTGTGGCTCCCAGTCCTCCTCCGCCATTTGCAGAGAGACAGAGACAGAGAGAGGCACTTGCACTTCTCTTCTCTCTCTCTCTCTCTCCGATCTGCTCATCTGGCCAGCTGGCCTCACGCTGTTCTCCGACAAGCTGACAAGCTTATTGGGCGGGCTCCCTGCCTTTGCTGCGTGTCTGCAGAAAGCAGCATATCTCTCTCTTCCTCTCTCTCTCTCTCTCTCTCTCTCTCTCTCTCTCTCTCTCTCTCTCTCTCTCTCTCTCTCTCTCTCTCTCTCTCACACACACACACACACACACACACACACACATACATACACAAACATACACTTTTGCTTACTTAGTAGGGGAAGAGGACTGGCAGACCAAGGGCAAGAGAGAGCCAGCCCAATAAGAATGTGTGTCAGCTTCTCGGAGAACAGCGTGAGGCCAGATGGCCAGGTGAGCAGACGTTGAGAGGGGGGTAGAGGAAAGAGAGAGAGAAACAGAGAGGGGGAGAGAGAGAGGGAGAGGAAAGAGAGAGTATGAATATATGATGTTTTTACTGGACTTTTAGTAAAGAACGTTTAATGAAATATTTTGATTTTTTTTAATTAAGAGATGAGGTATGGGAATAATTATGCTGTATTTGAAGATGGTAAATAAGTGACTAAAATTGTTTTCACCTGTTGGGATGAAGGAGAAAGGTTTTTTCCCTCTCTTTCTCCGGCATAAAAAATTGTTTTCTTTGTAGCAGTTCATTGATTTCATAAATGCAACACACTATAGTTTTTTTATACATAGCATAAAGGTAAAAAAGGATATATGCAATGCTATTTTCATTTTAGATATCAAAAAGGTTTTGTGGCTCCCAATGTTTGCTTTTCTGTGAGAAACAGGTCCAGGTGGCTCTTTGAGTGTTTAAGGTTGCCGACCCCTGGTATAGGTTCTCCTGCTTGAGCAGGGAGCTGGACTAGAAGACCTAAAGTCCCTTCCAGATTCTATTCTATTCTATTCTAATTATTTCTTACTTTTTTTCCTGTACTTTGCATAGCTGAAAGGGAATAATATGGGACCATGTTTGGATAATATTGAGTAGAAAGACTGTTTGTTCTTTATAAAATAGTTCTAGTTATTTTTATATGAATACATTTATTTTCATTTATGTATATTTAAGTCTTATTTATTTATTTATTTATTTTACAAAATTTATATGCCGCCCTTCTCCCCATGGGACTCAGGGCGGCTCACAGCATGTTAAAACAATATACAGAATTACCCCTTCTAAAAACCAATTAAAACCCAAATATTAGTGGCTGTGACTATTTAAAATCATTAAAAATTATCCCTATTTAAAATTCACCCTAGGTCAGGCCCG